GGGCATGTCCCCCGGCGAGCACCGTCCTCCCTTAGCCTCTCCCAAGACTCAACGTGCCCCTGCGTGGCCGGGTTTTCCAAACTTTTCATCCTTTTCGTTGCCCTCCCCAGTTGGTCCACGTTTGCCACGGCGCAGACCCAGCCTCGCGCCCAGCGGGAACCTCCCAGTGGCCAGCACGTTCGTCCCCGAACGAGACTGGCCTTTTTTTAACTGTCTCGGGGCGGTCTCCTAGTTTGAGCCACTCCAGCCCCCAGATCCTTCTCAGCAGCACGGCCGCCGAGCCAGCAGGCCCCATCTGGATGCTTCCTTCCTAAGAGCTTCAGTTGTCTTCTGTTGAATTTCACCTGGTGTCTTGCCCTGCCCCGGCAGACACCGAATTTCATGACACATGGTCCTGCGGCCGTCCCGTCTCCGTAGGGGGTTACCGAACCCTGAATGCAAGCAGGGGCACCCACCACACCATCTCTTAAAATGTCACTCTCACTGCCCTGAGGCTGCAGCCCGGCAGACTGAGCCACAGAATGGAGGTTTCTCTTCTTTCCACATTTGTAAAAACCTAGGAAATCCCGTTTTAAAAACCGACTTTCCTGAACCGTCAGGGTTGCCCAGTTCAGAAGTGCCCAAGGTACGATGCGCGTACAGCCTCGATTCTGCCTTTTTCTGCAGAGACATTAGACACGGGCCCGGTGTGTGTGAAACCGCAGGGAAAGGGGCTGGGATAGAGCTGAGAATTGGTACGTGATGAGCTCATGAATAGAGCCAGGCATCTTCCCACAAAATGGTTTTCCTTTAGAAAATGGTGATTCATCGAGACCGAAGCTGTTAGCGGGTATGGATGTGAAAGGTTAAACTGTTAACCGGTTACCCTGTAAGCGTTAGGTTTACCAGAACGCTTACTAGGTAACTGGTTAACCGTTGCACCGGCGGCAGGAACCTAGACAAGTCAGGACAGCAGGCGAGTTACTGCCATAGTGAACTAGCCACATTGCTCTGAAAATGTACATAATTTTGTGAGTCAACTAGCCACACTCAACCGGCCAAATAGCCACGTGTGGCTGGGGGCCACCCCCTTGGACACCACGGCTGTGTCTACACTGGGCCACTTATTCCGGAAAATCAGCCGCTTTTCCGGAATAAGCTGCAAGCTGTCTACACTGGTCCTTGAATTTCCGGAAAAGCATCGACGCTCTACTGTACAAAATCAGCCACAAAATCAGCCACTATTCCAGAGAAACTATTCTGCTCCCACTCGGGCATAAGTCCTTATTCCGGAACACTGTTCCGGAAAAGGGCCAGTGTAGACAGCCCAGTAGTCTTTTCTGGAAAAAAGCCCCGATCGCGAAAATGACAATCAGGGCTCTTTTCGGGAAAAGCGCGTCTACATTGGCCACAGACGCTTTTCCGGAAAAAGGGCTTTTCCGGAAAAGCAGCCTGCCAATGTAGATGCTCCTTTTCCGGAAAAACTGAAAACGGAATAGTATTCCATTTTAAGCAGTTCCGGAAATTCATGCCAGTGTAGACACAGCCCACGGGTTTAACCAGTTTACTGTTTTGAATGGTATTTACATCCCTATTAGTGGGAAAGGGTCAGTTTCAACAAATCCCCCAGTTCCAAAAGCTTTGGGGGGAGGACGGAAAATCTCCAGATCTGTCAAAATGTCCTGTTTTAACACTATCAAACCAAAACATTTTTTAGGGTTTTTTTTCCCACTCGAAATAACAATTTTATTTCAAACATTTTAGTTAATGAATGGTTAAAAAGTGGGAAACATTAAAAGTCACAAATGAAATATTTTGAACTTTGCAGAATGTAACATTTTGCTTAACCCGATAAGAACGTTTTCTACATTATTGGCTTGTGAAAAAAATTGAGATTTTGACATTTCATTTCCATTCAGAACAGGAAAAAAGTTTGAAATCCCCCAAATTCTCTTGAGATGAGTGACCCCACCCCTGGTCATTAGGGATTATAAGGGAATTAATACTTAATAACAATGAATAATCTCAGGGCAGAGTGAAGGTTGTGTGGGCATCCTTAACTGGTATAGCTTCTTGCTGCAAAACCAGCACCTTTGGGCACTTGAGTTTTACTGGAGAAATAAGTGATCTGGTGTCCGTTCTCAGAATTTGATGGCAAGTTCTGTCCCATCTGTCCTCAGCCACAGTCCAAAATTCTCACCAACCGGTGGGAGTCCCCCGTCCCCTGCAGGTTGGGACTGGTGCGACGTCTTGCCCTTGCATTGTACGCTCCCTCGCTGCCATGGGCTGGGGAGCTAAAAGCCCTGGTTTGTAACAGTCCTATGCTTCCCCATCCACCCTCAAACCAGCAGTTGCTGCAGCTATGGGTCGTCTTTGCTGACTGTGACTTCTAGTTGAGATGGGGGGCTGTCCATGTGTGGGGAGTGGGCAGACGGCACTCCACCTCCCCTGCTGGAGAGCAGGCGGGCTGATGGGGAAGTGAGGACAAGAGCAGAGTGGAGACGGTGGGGGGGTAAGTTAGGGAGGCTGGCCCAAAACCACAGCCTCCCCCGCCGGCCAGAACTGCCCCCTTCTCAGGCTCTGAACCTCAATGGCCCATCTCCTTGTCCTCCCCCCACGCCAGCCCCCCTCTCCGGCAGCCCCAGCGCCCTGCTCCTCTCTGTCCTGGGCTTTGCAGGGCACACCCTCCGGAAGCTGGGGGCCTGTGTGAGTCGATGGTGGCGTCTCCCCGTCGGCGAATGCCCCACATGGTGCTGGGCAGTCCCTGGTGGTCAGGACAGGCCCAGCTGTGGGGCTCTAGAGAGCACAGCCCCAGGAGGGAGGAGCTGGGTGTGTCCCACCAGCGAAAGGGAATGTGCCAGCTACAGACACTTGGGAGCCAGCTGGGGTGGGAGAGTGCCCGAACGTGCCCCCGTTGGTGGGACTGGCAGAGTCAGGGGCCAGCCTGGCGCTGGCTCCAGCCCGCCCCGACAGCCGCCGCCCCCCGCCACTCCTAAAGGGGCAGGCCCCCAGTGACACCAAGCACCAGCATCGGGCGAAATCGGGCCCCCCTGGTGCCCCAGGGAGCTCCAGCACCAACCTCCCGGGGGGCAGGCTCCTCCCCAGGAACAGTGTGACAGCCGAGCTCGAACCGTCCTAACTCCGCCTCCCCTCCCGCAGCCTGGGGCTCGCCTTGCCGCCCTACAGCACCTACTACATCCGGGCCAACCTCAGCGACCAGATCCTCCAAGTGAAGTGTAAGTAGACACTTGCCTTCGCCTCTTGCCCTTCCACACGCCCCTTGACCCCCAACCCACCAGCTGGGGACCAATGGGGGGCACGGAAGCTCGCCGGTGCTATAAGAGCGCCACCAATCGGGGCGCGGGCGGGCCCGTCAAACGGAAGGTAAATTGCCTGCCGGGGAATGCGAGGGCTTCGTACTTCCATTTTGCTTAAACCAAAACCAACCAAACCCCGAAACCAAGTGTTTGCTAGAAGGAAAACCCAGGCCCCTCTGGCGCAGATGAGGGGAAGGGCTGCCGGGGGAGCGCTCCAGGCACGAGGAGGCAGTGCTGTGGCAGGCAGTTACTTGGAAAGCCCGTGGAAATTTGCATGTTTTGTTTTCCTTAAGGTTCTTTTGGGTTCCTATGATTTCCGTTTTGGTTGGTTGATTTTCTTTGTAATTAATTTCTAATTAACCTGTGTACGTGTGTGTTAGCCTGCACCTCTCTCTGCCTCTCTCGTTCCACACGAGAGCCTAGTCTCCCAGGTCGGGAGGGGGGTGACTCAGGCTTCCCCCCGATCCCTATCTTTCTCTCCCTTGTTTCTCTCTCCTTCTGTCTGTCTCTCTGCTGCCCGCTGCCCCTTCTCTCTCCGAGCTCCCGGCTGCCTTCACCGTCCCTCGTGCCCAGGGCCTTCCTGGGGGTTGATTTTATTCACAATGCGACTTTGGAGCAAACCAACACAACATCCAGCAGGGGGCGCTCCTCCTGGTTTGGTTGCTCTCAGGGGGTATGTCTACACTACCCTCCTAGTTCGAACTAGGAGGGTAATGTAGGCATACCGCATTTGCAAATTAAGCCTGGGATTTGAATTTCCCAGGCTTCATTTGCATAAGCGGGGCGCCGCCATTTTTAAAACCCCAC